ATTTAGGGTTAGAGTAAGGGTTAAGATGGGAATAGGAAACATACAGAAAGCGTGAGAGGAGTATCGAGGACGGGATTATGAGGGCAGATGAGGCAAGCATATTTGCCGCTAGGAAGCTTTCTGTAGGAAGAGTGATTGGCGGTTGCATTCAGCAAGAGATCGTCGACTCTCCTCTTCCGGTACTGTGCTTCTCTCCCCCAACTGTCTCCTCCGAACACGCTCATTGATTTGATTCAAAACTATGCAATACTTACGAGGAATGCTCACATTTCTCTCATTAATTTTCTTTTTACTTCTTGTTTTTTATTAATATGATTATAATTTTATTTGAAAGATACCGAAAGTAAGTTAATGTTAATGTTCCATAAGGAAATGACTATAAAAACTATTAAAAGAGACATTTTGTTTTAGTATTCATAATGTCTATAAATTGACGGTCAAATGCTTGTGTTTTGTTTCACTTTGTTATACTTTTTTTGTAAATTATTAAATTAAAAAATACTAAAAAAAATATTGGAGATCATATTGTTATTATATACAAAATAAAAATGTATAACTTATAAGTAAATTATATGTCATATAGTTAAAAAAAAACAAAAAAAAAAAAAAAAAACTCACAATATAACACATTATTGATAATGATTTGATAAGCAAAACATGACAACAAAAATTCAATATAAAGCAAAATGCTCAAATTACTAATACGGATTTGATAAGCAAAACATGAAAACAAAAAATCAATATAAAGCAAAATGCTCAAATTACCTTTTATTTTTTATTTTTGTGGTTCTTCACCCAAACAAAATATGATTTTGACAACATCCTATTCTCTTTTTTCAATATAAATAAATAATGAATACTCATTACATTGACAACAACACTTCTCTCTTCTTCGTTTATATTGTTGTAACAACAAACTTCCCGATCAACCATTCCAATTTTTATGATCTGCTATTTCAGATGTAAAATTAATAAATGAAGAGAAAAGGCCTCAACTTAGTCCAGATAAAATAAAAATATTTAACAGAGTGGAAATAAAATGACAAAGTTTAAAAGTATAATGCCTTGATTGGAGAGTGCAATGTTATATTGTCATTTGAGGATACCTTGAGCAATAAAGGACCGGGTCCTTCAGAGGAATGAATGTTGACTCATCAATAAAACTAAAAAAATAATCTTGGAATTAGATAAGAGTCAACGATTTCATATAGTGTCAATTTATATGATTAAAAAGTTACATACCTTACACCAAATCCAACCCTTCGAAATTACTTCATATTATCAGATTGGATAGCTACCAATTATAAAAAACGAAATGGACGGAATACTTGAATTTATTGGTAAATACGATAGATTGAGTAATTAAGAGACCAAATGACCTTTATTACATACACAAACAAAAAACCTACATTCCATTTACTGCCAAACAAATGTACTGTATTATATATGCTGGAATAAAAAACAAAAAAAAAACATAAACCTTAACCAAACCGAGAAACCAACAAAATAGTGATTCAACTAAACCAAGAAAACAATGAAATTAACTTAATAATCGGTACATATCATCAAAAGGTTCATTTTTATGTGTTCAAATATTTTTACAACTCCAAAGATAAAGTCCTTTTATGACATCAGGTAAAAAAAACAGATGGTTCGCTTTATCTTGTAGTGATGGTATAGGAGGAGATGCAAAAACAGATGGTTCGCTTTATGTTGTAGTGATGGTATAGGAGGAGATGCAGTCTTCTCTAGGTATTGATTCTCATAACTCTACAAAGCAACAATCCTTCTTGTGAAAAGCCTAACACCAAATTCAAACAAAAATACAAATTTATTCACATTAAAGATATGTAATGTCATAAAAGAGAGAAATATAGGAGCTTAGGTAAGTATTTTAACTCATTAAAAAGGAAACAGGCAGATCTATAGTGAATCATACATTAAGATTTGTAGGCAAACAATAAGCATTGAAAAATGTAAGGCTGATATTTGGCATATGAAATTGTAGAAAGACACGATAAGCCCGTGGATGTGGAGTGCTGGGAAAACAAGAGATGGATCTCACCGGTTGACAGCAAAATGAGTGCATTACCAGACAAACCAATTTGTCCAAAGCTTTCGACACTATTCTTGCAGAAAAATCCAAATCTGGAATCTGTTCCAAAAGCATTCTTTATTCATATGAAGAGTCTTCGTGTTCTCAACTTATATGATACGTGAATCACATCATTACCAAGTTCTTTGTGGAACCTAATCTCCTTGAAAGCTCTCTACTTGCAAAAATGTTTGGATCTAGTTGAGCTTTTGTCTGATTTTGTGAAACTGGACTCTCTTGAAGTACTTGATGCACAGTGAAGCGGACTAGCAAGCGTACCGCCTCAAGTCACAGAATCGATACACATACGACGGTTGTTGGTATCCTTTGCTAGGAACACACCTCTTCAAAATGCATCCAAGGATGTGGACCTTATTTCTAAAATGCAGAATTTTAAAAAACTCGTAATCGAGGCTGAAGAAAAGTTTAGGAAAATTTATGCGATTTGGTTTTCAAGAAATTGGGGATAACAAGACTTTCGCTTCTTCAGTTTTGTTATCATAGTGTGACGATAGATTACATCAAAGCTATAGGTGGTAGTTGGATAATCAATTTTCCTATACAAAGCCTTCTTCAAAGTTGAATCAAAGAAGTAGGTAACCTTAATCTAAAAAGGTGTCAATTTTTTATAGGTTGTCATATCTCATCGTATCCGATCATTATGAAGTTTATGTCTTATTTCATGTTCGATGTAAAGTTAGCAGATACACAATCTCTCATGTCCTTCGTGATGATATCGTCATTGAGTTTGTCAATCACAATGAACTTGAACACTTGTCAAATTTTACTGCTGAAGAAGTAGATAGAATCCGTTTTTGTGTTCTAGAAGGTTGCAACAAGATAAGAACAGTAGTAGATGGTAACATTTGATGGTAACATTTGAGACAACTCAATCTTAAAAAAATTGGAAAAATTACACATGTTGAATCTGCCACTTTTGAAAAACATTTGTGAAGGTCCAATTCAAGTTCTTCTCACCGGTTTGAAAACATTGATATTGTGTAAGTGTCCGATGTTGACATCTTTGCGTGCATATGATGTAATTATGTAGATTCGTCATTTATAAGTCCAAGGGTGCTCGCAAATGAAAGAGATATTTAATGGGCATTTGAATGTTGGGGTAGTCCAATTCTACCAAATTTGAATAAACTAATACTCGATGATATTCCACAACTTACAAGTATATTAATGAGTAACTGATTCGAGTGACCTTCTTTGAAAAAACTTAAAATTCTTGGGTGTCCAAAGTTAAAAAGATTATATTTCGAAAAAAGATAGTGTTATGAAGTTGAAATTAGTTGTGAAGTAAAGAAAAGTTGGTGGGAAACCTTGGAAAATGATCAGGAGGTTAAAGAACAATTTCAACACTATTGCACCTTCAGGTAAGAGTCCATAGAGCCTTGAAAACTTATTTAGACTAATTGAAAGTTATTAATTAGCATTTAATCCATCATAGATAAAAAAGATGCATCTCTGAACTTAACCAAAATACATACATGCATGCATACATAGATACATGTTCAAGTTCAAAAATGATAGATATGATAGATTAAATTTTTATTAATAGTTTTCAATTAGTGTAAATAAGTTTTCAAAGCTATATGGACTCTTACCTGAAGGTGCAATTTCAACGAAGGTGCAATAGCGTTGAAATTGTTCTTTAACCTCCTAGTTGTTTTCCAAGATTTCCCACCAACTTTTCTCTAATTCAACTAAATTCAACTTCACAACACTATCTTTTTTAAAAGATAATCTTTTTAACTTTGGACACAACGAATCTTAAGTTTCTCCAAAAAAAAAGGTCACTCAAATGAGTTATTCATCAATATACTTGTAAGTTGTCGAATATCATCGAGTATTAGTTTATTCAGATTTGGTAGGATCGAACTAGCCCAACATTCAAAGGCCCATAAAATATCTCTTTCATCCGAGAGCACCCTTTGACTTCCAGATGACGAATTTGCATAATTGCACCATATGCACACAAAGATGTCAACATCGGACAGTTGCACAATATAAATGTTTTCAAACTGATGAGAAGACCTTGCATTAGACCTTCACAAATGTTTTTCAAAAGTAGCAGCTTCAACATGCGTAATTTTTCCAATTTCTTTAAGATTAAGCAGCCTCAATGTGACCATCTAGTAGTGTTCTCATCCTGTTGGAACCTTCTAGAACACAAAACCGATTCTATCCACTTCTTCAGCAGTGAAGTTTGACAAGTGTTGAAGTTCATTATGATTGACAAACTCAATGGCGACATCATCACGAAGGACATGAGAGATTGTGTATCTGCTAACTTATCCATCGAACATTAAATAAGACATAAACTTCATAATGATCGGATACGATGAGATATGGCAACTAATAAAAAATTGACACTTTTTTAGATCAAGGTTATCTACTCCTTTGATGCAACTTTGAAGAAAGTTTTGCATAGAAAATTGATCCTCTAACAACCACCTACGGCTTTGATGTAATCTATCACCACATTATGATAACAAAATGAAGAAGCGAATGTCTTGCTATCCTAACTTCCTGATAACCAAACCGCATAAACTTTCCCCAAACTTTTCTTCAGCCTCGATTACGAATTCTTTAAGATTCTACACTTTAGAAATAGGGTCCACGTCCTTAAATGCATTTTGAAGAGGTGTGTTCATAGCAAAGGATACCAGCAACCGCCGTACGTGTATCGATTCTGTGACTTGAGGCGGCACGCTTGCTAGTCTGCTTCACTGTGCATCAAGTACTTCAAGGGAGTCCAGTTTCACAAAATCAGACAAAAGCTCAACTACGTCCAAACATTTTTGCAAGTAGAGAGCTTTCAAGGAGATTAGGTTCCACAAAGAACTTGGTAGTGATGTGATTCACGTATCATATAAGTTGAAAACACGAAGACTCTTCATATGAATAAAGAATGCTTCTGGAACAGATTCCAGTTTGGATTTTTCTGCAAGAATAGTGTCGAAAGCTTTGGACAAATTAGTTTGGCTGGTAATGCACTCATTTTCCTGTCAACCAGTGAGATCCATCTCTTGTTTTTCCAGCACTCCACATCCACAGGCTTATCTAATGCTTCACCAAATTTTACCAAAATTCCTTGGCCTCCATCAGTTGACAAACTATATAATGCAGCTAGATGAATCAGCTTGTGTATCCTAAAACATTGTTGAGGTTCATTTTCCTCAAGTAATGAGTGCATCTTAAGATAATGCAATACTTCACGTCCATTGGCACGTGTTTCTTCTGCATCATCAATTGTGTTGGGAAGTTCCTCTGCTGCCCAATTGTCTAGTAAGTTGTCCTTTTGGATGTCACTATCCTCCAGGTATAATGCAGTGTAAAAGAAGCATTTCTTTTCAGAATCATCAAAGAAATCAAAGCAACATTTCAAGAATATGTATATTCCTTTCATGGCATCACTCTCTTTTCCTAGCCACTTTTTTTAGCTTCAAAATCCATCACGTCAACTCTCCTCAGTCTCCCTATCTCTAAACACACCTGCTGCTACCTTTTTTAATCCCGCCGAATACTTGTGCTAGTGCGTGTTGGAGAGTTGGGAACACTTGAAATATTTGAGGTTGTCATCTTTAACACATAGGCAGCTTCTCTCTCCACCAACGCATCCGCTAGATGGGTTTCTTCCATCATTAGTTAAAGATCAAAGTAGATTTTTCCTTCAACTTTTTAGTGAAGTCGGAACATTTCTTAATAAAAACTCATCGTGACTTTTCCCTTTCCGTTGTATGCATGACTTCTAACTCAACAACTTCTTTAGCAACTCGGGATTTCCAATTCATGTAAGCATTTAATAACACCATCGTTGTCGCATATGCTTTTGAACCATGGCATCATGATCATCCCTTTTTGCAGCCAGCATTTCTATTGCACTATCCAAAGCTTGATAGACTTCATCCATATTTTTGGATAACCTGCTGCTGATTATTTCCTTCAATGGATCCCATAATGCTCCTTTGTTTTGCCTCCTGCTTCTACCCCAGCAGCAACAGTTTCAGCCATACGTAGGAGTAAATTTAACCTAGAAAAATGAAACAGAATGAGTGTCAACTGTCAAGTACATTATAGTAGCAAATATGAGCTTTAAACATAACATCTATGGCAGAGGCGGACGCAGAAATTTGTGACAGTAGGTGCACCCAGTTTTTTTTTTTTCCAATTTCTCATACAAAGTTTGCAAATTGCAAGTGTCTAACTGTTTTTAGCAAACCTCAACATGCTACCTAAGTAATTAAGTCAGGAATTGTATGAAACAAACACTGACTATATATTCCAAGTTTCAACCATTACAGACAAAAACAGAGTCTGTACAATGGTTAAACATTATATATAAGAACATTACAGTTTACACTTTAAACAAAGTAAACAATCAAGAATTTAGTAGCATAGATGGAACAATAACTTTAAAGTATAAAGTTGAAACAATTATCAGAAATCGGAATTTTTTCAAGAACAATGACATGTATATTGGTTGGTTAGAGATTACAATAATTCAATCCGTTGACCGTTGACCGTTCACTCAAATCAATTTCAACAGCCACCGATGGAATAGAGCTAGGTTGGGGAAATTCATTGGAGGCATTTGCAGATGAAGATGCATCATCTGTTGATATTCGTCTTATTAAAAATCTTTCCATTTATCTGTTAATAAAAGTTAACAATCAATTATTCATTGATATACTAAAACTCAACAATTAACAATCTATTATTTATGGATGTAATAAAACTAAACAACTAACAATCTATTAACAGGAAACATGAGCCTTTCATGTGTTCAAATAATGCCCACAGGGGGCACTTTGTCCAATATACCAACAAAAATCTATTATTCATCGCAATATCAATACAACTTGCAATATGGACCACACCAAAAAATTGAAGGCTATTAATATACTCCAACAACAACAGTGGACAAATAATCCAACAAAAATCCAAAAAATAGCAATATAACACAATATAATTGATTTCCAACCTATAAAAAGAGCCACAATTCCACAAACCAACAATGAAAGTCTACAAACCAAGAAAAATCGATTTCCCCTAAAAATAAATCAAAGTATATACCGAGCTAGACTGACAGAACAGGGGCAGCAGAGGCCGGAGGCTCACTCAGGCCGTCGACGTGAACCTTTTTCCGATTCCTTTTTCCGATCTTATTGTAGAATGGTGATTATTACTAGGGGCAAAAGCTAGGTCAAAGAGAATGAAGAGAGAAAGAAAGAAAGAACTCAAGAAGAAATAAAGTGGAATACGATCTGAGCAATGCAAGAGTATGTAACCACTTCTTTAAAAAAAAAAATCTAGTGTAACGAATGAAAATCAATTTTACCACATGTCAATTTCTCATGAGTTTTGACACTTGTCATATTCTATATTTTTAAAATAAGATAAAATCCACATGTTAATTTCTAGATTTTTCAAATTTTAAAATTAAAGTCACATAATACATAATACTTGAGTATATATGTAAAGTATTAAATATAATAAATGTGATAATAAATCTACTATAATAAATGAAAATCAATTTTGTCACATGTCAATCTCTCATGAGTTTTGACACTTGTCATTTTATGATATTTTTAAAATAAAATAAAATTCACATGTCAATTTCTAGATTTTTCAAATTTTAAAATTAAAGTCACATAATACATAATACTTGTGTGTATATATGTAAAGTATTAAATGTAATAAATGTGATAATAAATTATAATTAATATGTTTTTTATTTCTTATTTCAAAATTTTATTTAAAAAAATATTTATTGTTTACATTTTGATATTTAATCTTTTTTTTAATCAACCGGTGTATTACACGAGTTTTACACCTAGTAATAAGAATAATAATAATAATAATAATAATAATAATAATACATGTATATATGGTGAGATTTACAAACAAGTGGGTCCACACATCTCACTTCCAATACATAGACTCCCCCACTGATTAGGGTTCTAAGGTTCTTGTTCTTCGGCTGATCTCGGAGATTAGGTTAAAACGTAAATAAGATAAAGAGTGAATTATGCAAATCGTCCCTCGTGCAAGTGCTATAATGCATGTTTGGTTCTTATTTTTAAAAATTAACTCGGACCGTCCCTTGTCAGTTTAAAACTTACACGCTTCATCCCTTCGGACATAAAAAGACCATTTTGCCCTTATTTATTTCTTTTTTCATTTTCTTTTATTTGTTTATTATTTTTATATAAAAAAGAAAAAGTAAAAAACAATAAAATATCCATACCCCCAACCCTTTATCCCTCGGTTCATTCCCCTTCCCTTTCCCAACTTCATCTTATTTTTTTTTCATAAACCTGTCATCTTCCTCTCCATTTCCAACAAACACCATGGGAAACAACACTACCATCGGTCAACACCAACACCACCACCGGTCAACACCATCACCACTATAACTAAATTTTTAGACACAAAACATAGAAGTTGGGGTTTTCAAAACTTAATCCTTTAGGGGTGGGCATATTTCTTCTTCTCTGTTCTTTTATTTTTCTTATGTAGCAATTTTTTTTATTAATTTACTATTTTTTTCAATGTTTGAATCTTGTTGATTAATCTTGCTAACATTGAACTTGGTAAAATGAAATAATTAAATAATTGAAAAATGAGATTATTCAGGAATATACATTGAATGTTGAGATTACGCATTGAATTTCTATTAATAGATCCATAATCAAAGAAGTGTTTGTGAGTATTGCAGAAGAAATGAAACAAAAGATACTGTTGAAATCGAACTTCATTCCAAGCCCCACCACCGACATCCCTATTAACCTCCGTCGGCCACCACCAGGAGTGTAGATGGGAGCACAAAGGTGGCAGGCGGTTCCATCTCTATCGATCTTCCAATAACCACCCCCATTAATCTCTCTCTCTCTCTCTCTCTCTCACTCACTCTCTAATGCACTAGCATAAACACAAAATTGAATTGCCGACGTTCACCACCACCAATCCTATAAGTCACCGCTAACATCCTCATCACACCAATGTTTTGCCTTAGAAACCCTGAAGACGAGTTAAACGATCCCAAATCATGGTGAAACGGGATACCCGTGTTCAGGTTAAACTAAATTGATAGTTGAAACTCATTAATCGGAACCTATAAATCGAAACCCGCATATGGTCGGAGAAGAAAGAGCAACGACCCACGCCTGAAGAAAGAGAAACCTGCATCTTGGAGGCCATCACACAGGATCAAAGAAAATGGTAATTAAGATAAGAGAAACAGGTTCAGATCGAACCCCACCCAAATCATCTCCGTCGACGGTCCTCCCCTGATGAGATTCAAAGAACGATGATAGTCGACGTTGGCCAAGGCTTGGATTTCTTGATGTGAGGAGATCGGGAAGAGTTTCTGGAGGAGGTCCTATCCAGTGGTCGGATTTTAACATCAAGGGATGTGCTCCGGTGGTGGTTGTCTAGAACTAGTGGATCGACCATTCTTGAAGATTTTAGAGAAGATGGAGAAGAGAGATTGGTCAAAAGGAAGGTGTGGGGTGGGGTGAGCCTGAGGTGGGTAGGTTGGGGTTAGGTATTAAGTAGGGCATGATTTTTTTAATTTTTAAATTAATAATGATAACAATAACATTTAAATTAATTGGAAAAGAAATACAAAAGGGTATAATAGTTATTTTATATCTCATAAGGGATGAAGCGTGCAAATTTAAACTAATGAATGATGAAGTGTGCAATTTTTAACCAAACGAGGGGCGGTCCGAGTTAATTTTTGAATAGGGACTGAACGCGCAATTTGATATTTAGACTAGGGACGATTCGTGTAATTTACTCTAAAATAAAAAATTTTAAAAAAATAGTCATCGTTTCAAAAAAAAATTAAAATTTTTAGGATAAAAGCAAAATTTGATGTAGATGAGACTTGTCGATTTCGAGTTGAGGCAGAGAATTTAGGTCGAACTCAAGGCAAATGTCAAGAATTTTTTTAGGTGCTTCAAGATGTGATGGGTGTAATACGATCTAGGGTCCTTGTCGTTCAGCTTCTTTGGGAGATTAGGTTAAAGCGCAAATAAGATAAAAAATTGTCATCGTTTCAAAGAAAATTGACATTTTCAGGATAAAAATGAAATTTGATGTAGATAATCATTAAAAATAAATACGCTAATACGAAATAGGGTGGATTTTAGTCGACTTCATAAAAAGTCTCAAGTAGGACAAGTATGAGGAGAAGTTAAACTAAAAATGCGATGCATATAAAAAATGAGATAACGTTCTCAAAAGACTACACCTATGCACATGAATTATGTTCTATACATCAGGTGCCTAAGCTAATTATTAAAAGGTTTCCAAGTGTGAGAAATCAGAACTTTGAAAATGTTGAAACTATTTTGGGAAACATGATAATATCCCAGAATCATGTTGGCAAAAACCTTACTA